ATATATATATATATATATATGAAAATTAAATATTGCGTATGTATATTTGTAAAATTAAGTGATACTACCAACGTAGCGTTCTCGACGAACCTTTGAATAAAAGATTCTGAGAAATCACAAATGAACAGGTCTGTTTTCATTATTTCTTTTCTCCCTGATTCATTTGCGACGTGTTAACCATTACGATCGTTCGGTAATGGGTTAGAAAGTGGGGCACGCTTAGGCCTCGCAAACTTGACCGTCATTCCAGTGAAGGAAAGGGAGGAATTTATTCCTAAGATATGAGAAAACGTACGCGGAAATTCATCCATTTATTATTTTTCTCATTACTTCGTTAATATAGATCCGCGCTGCGACAAGCTTTTAAAGCTCGCTCGTTCCAATTATTTGAAATTAATGTGCTAATAAAAAAATTACGCAATATGTTGTGGGAAAAATATCTATTAACGTGTGTGAGCGTCGAAGGGAAATTTTATTAACGAATTGCTACTACTGAATTGAAAACTATTTCCCTTGTAAGGATGCGTTCTACACATTTTCTTGTCGGTCAATTTGGATCCGGCAAAGAATTATTATAAGCTTTACAACTCGTGTAATCGCGAGACGCGTCATTGTGAGATACGAGAGTTTATTCCAATTTATGCGCCATATAGAGAGGCTCATTCCAGTTTCGTAATTGCTCTGAAAATCTCGCTTGCGTGTCTCGACTGTGGCGGCCTTGATCTGAATTCGATTTACTGTACGATGGACATCGATGACGCGACGAATTAAGGACGACTTGATCCTGCTACAATCCTCGAGAAAATTGAAAGCGAAAGTCTAAGAAAGCGCTTCGAAGGATGAGCCCAGTTATTGAGAAACCATCGATTTACCAATTTATCTAATATATTTAAATCACCTAATTTAATGTATTCTAAAATATATCATTAAATTCTGTATCAGGTGTATAATTTCTACAAAAAATGATTGGAAATAAGTTTTATTTATTTATAAAAATAAATGTTATAGTAAGTACAATAGTTCAATAAGATCAATATATTTATATTTATATTCAGCAACACAATTTTAATAAAAATTTCTTTAATAAAGATTTAGATAAAATTTTTTAAATTTTATCTTAATTTTATCTTAATTTTTTCAAAAAATATCTATTTCTCATTGAAATAATTTTTAATGATTGTAAAGCATCACGAAATTTTTTGTATTATATTTTAAGCAATATACAAAAATTTGCATTTTTCATAATTTTTTCATTTAAAAAACATATTCTAGTTAAAAAATACATATATTCTTATATAAACGTTATATATATATTATATTATATTATATTATATATTTCGTATCTGAAAAATAACTTATTGAAAGTTAATAAGAAACTTGCTAGTATTAAGTAGATGCTTCATTTGTTTCAAATTTATTGAATAATTTATGAAATGGAAATTTAAACATGGAATTGTTTATGAGATGTTTATGATTGTGAAATATCAAATAATATTACGTTTAATGACAGCAGAGAGAGAATCTCAAACATTTCTATTATAGTTTTTTAAGTATCTGTAAAATGAAATGGAGAATTAATCAGGTTTATTACTTCCAAATAATGTAACCGTCAAAATTCTTAAACAGATATATTTTCATAAACATTATAAACATAATCTTTCTAAAAATTTAGAACATATCCTTTTACTCGCCAGGATATGTTGTAGATATTATTCTTATCTTTATTATTCATGATTAAAAGTTGCTAATTAATTACAGCAATGTAGATGAGAGTTTGGAGTTTTTTTGTCAGCAATTAGGTGCGGCAAATAATTACACATTCTCATTTGGGATGTGTAATTATTTATAACAACACTGCACGCGAACTTCCACGCAAAACTCGAATTAAATCGTATAAAAGTGAAGAGCGTGTCGCACGCATTATAATGACTTGAAGCATGAAGCACAATTACAAGCCGATGTCTTCATATTTTATCTTATTAATATTTACTAAGTGTAAGTTAATTAAGGCAGATTAATGACATTATGTTGTTATATGACAGCAAGACACATTGAGCGTACACATTTGTGTTAATTATACAGAATATATCGATTTGCTACCACCGACCCACCATTATTCTCTACCTACGAATCGTTGAATCGGGGAAAAAGAAAGGACAAACGCGGGAATAGGAAAAAAATAATAGTAACCTCGCGTGAAATACCAACCGGCCGCCGACGGTTGCATTCCAACGCAGCCTCTCTTTCGTCTTTGTTTAGAGTCGTTTCGAGACAAGCTTAATCAACATCGAGAGGATTCCGTCGCTGATGGAAGTTTTATTCCGCAAGCAACAGGTACCTCAATCGTTATCAAGCAATTGTAAATGATTGTACACGAGGTCATGTACATATATCGTACTAACTTAATTTCATGTTATTATGCACGAAAAATTAGGGAGCAAAGTTAATGTCTTAATAACTAAATGCGCCCAATGATTGAAGAATCAACAACATATTTGTCAGTAACAACAAAAATGACAATTTAAAGAGAAGTTAAATATTTTGTATCAGAACAAGCAATAAAAATATATAATTTTAATTGAAAATTATTGCAAAAAAGTTATTCCTTTCAAATTTTGCAGGATAGTCATATTTTTACTTATTTTCTTATTATCTTGAATAAAACATAATCTTACAGCACAGAAACTTGCAGCAATATGCAATGTTACATTATTATTGGAATGTTACATTGTTGCTGCAATATTTCTATAATGATCTTTGCTGTATGGATGTTTTTACACGTTTTCAAACTTTTGAAAATATTATACTATTTATCTAAATATGTATTATATTTTTTGATTGTAAATAAATTTGTAAAAAATTAAATTTATAAAACTTATTTTTTATTAGAAATTTAATTACTGATATAATTAATAGTGTAATATATCAATCATGTAAATGTTCTTTTTTACATGATAGTATTTTTTGATTATGGACAAAACAAAGTTTTATATTAATACAAAGTTGAATATTAATTGAATATTAACTTGTAATACAATTCTACTCTCTAAATCTGAATCAGTGAATAATCACTGACATCAGCCAAGTATGCCACTGGTAATCAGTGAGTTAAATGTGCGATACCTAACCTAGCTAATTTTTATTATGTGATAATCTAATGATAATCTAACTAATCTTGTTTTAGTGCTTAAATTCAATGAATATGGTATTGGAAGATTGAAATTAACGTACAAATATCGATATTTTAATTATATAATTATATAATGCTCAAACATTCTTCCTTTTTTAGTTGAACTTCACTGATTATCAGTACAAAGTATACTACTGGGTAATTAGTGATTATCCACTGATTCAAATTTAGAAAGTAATTAATAATTAATAATAATATAGAATTGATCATATCTTATTAGTTCAATCATTAGGATATTTACTTTATAATAAATGTTCATATATGCTTCTGCAGTATGTATTGTAGTAACTATAAACGTGGCCGCATTATTCATTTTCACATTATTTAAATGCCTACTCGCATAATCGACATGCATCACTTTTACTTGCGGTAAAACCTTTGTTAGATAATTTTTCTGCAACATGCAAATGGAGGTTCACCTACGATCAAATTCCATTTATCCGCACAAGGCATGTTAATAGATTTCATAACAACAAAGACGATATCTTTAAAGACAGTATCTTTAAGTACACTGAGAGAAAAGTGTTTAATATTAGTGACTAAAATTGCAGGTAAAAAATTATATATTAAAAAAAAATATATGTATATACTTATAGTTAATAACAAAAATAAACTATATATTATAAATATATTATATAACTATATATAACTATATATTATAAATAAACTATATATTATTTTGGTATCTAGAAGTATAAATATAATAATTATTACTATCATTATAGCATAGTAATGGATTTTACTTAATCTATAATTCAACCAGGCAATTATAGTCATAAATAATAAACGCTTTTCTCTCACAATCAGTGTATGTTTTGTAGAATTTATTTATTAGTCTTTTTATCTATTATAGATATCAGGAATTGGTGGAAATAATTCCTAGAAAACATTTATAACAGAGCTATTAAAATATATGTACTTATATCTGAAGGTTATTATAAATAATAAAATAACCAAAAGAATTTTAAAGGATTCCACATTACATTAATCTTAATTAAATAAATATTACCATTTAATTAGAACTGTCTACTTTGATCGCAGCCAAAAATTTTTTTCTACATAAATTAAGCATCTCGCTAATTGCTCGGAATACTACAATTTAATGGATGTAATCTGATTTACAAGG